ACAGGCTCCCAATGCCACCAGGGAGGAAGTGACTCATCTTCCTAGATGAAGCAGGTGGCATGCTTCCCAGCAGCTGTCAGAAATGAATCCTGGGCAGCAGCGGGTATGGGTTTCTAGAGGTCACCTGCTTGCTTTCCAGAGTACTTTCCTCAAGAGAAGAAAGCAATTGCAGTATTGGGTGAAACCCCACCACCCACACACAGGCCCCCGAAATACCAAACTGTTCACTACCGTAGTGTCCAGATGAGAAGACAGAGGTATTAAGGACTGGGTGCACATGTGCCTGGAGCCTTCATTTGGGAAGATGTAGAAGGTCTGGAGAGGGACGGCAGTGATTGAATGAACTTAATGCCATTGAACTGTGCATTTTAAATGGGGGAGATGGTACACTTTATGCTTATGTGTATTTTACCACAATAGAATAATATTGCATTAAGTAACATAGCTACCAAGTGAAGAAGCCAAGGACCTGGGCAGTCCTGTCTGAGCCTTGATCTTAACTACCCTCCCAAAGACAGTGACCTGGCAGAAGATGCATATGAACTGAGGAACAGTCTGGAAAAGGTGGTTAATGGAGGAGGGAGAGCTGAGCAAGGTTTTTAGTACAAGGAGCATGGAGAGACGTGCAGGTTAGGAAACCCCCTTGGCCTCCGGGAAGATGGAGGAGAGGCTGAGGTAGAGGTGAGTAGGAGCGTGGACAGGTATGCATGTGATGAGGGAAAAGTCTGTGATCGCTGCTTTTGCGTTCTCTTGGTCTCTTGGCCCATCTTCACCAGCTCCCACGGGGGCCCCAAGGCTTGAGAAAGCCAGGGTGCAAAACTACTCTCTGTCTCCAGAGGGCAGTGCTGCAAAGTCTTCGGGGAGCTGGGCTCTTCTGCAAACTATCCGCAGCCCAGCAGATCCCTTCTTCCCCTTAACTTGCTTGGCTTCCTTCACCTACCTAGCACCTCCCAGCTGTTGCTGCACCCTGGGCATCAGTGTCCTCTCACCAAGGGCACAAATTATTAATAGCTTTAACCTTACATTGGACACTGTGGAAGAAGTGGTGTATGTGTTAGCTCGTGTGGTCCTTCTGAGAGATGCACAGAAGAATGACCCCCTTCCCAAGCATCCTGAGGACCATCTCATAATAAGGAAACTAAGGGCCAGCAAGGGCAGGACCTGACCCACACTAGCACGTCAGTGGCGCAGCCAGTCCTGGGGACTCAGGCCAGCTAATGCCATCTGGAGCCCATGGGAAGACACAGCCCCTCATACCTCCCATGTTACAGCTGTTAATGGTGACCACCAGCCTGCCTGCTGAGACTGCATTTCACACTCTAGCTCCCTCCCACCTCACAATGGACTTTCAGTGATTTATTTCCATGGGGTTGTCAGTCAGGTCAGGCTGACCTGACACACATCTTGTATGATTTACTTCCTCCTCATCTTCTGATCCAAAATTACAAGTCATCACCATCACCATCCCTGCTATATTAATAATGGTGTGTGTCTCTCAGCGCTCAGAATTTAGCAAGCACTAATCCATCCATCAGCTCATCTGAACCTTGGCAACTCTGGAGAGGCATTTCACAGACAAGGGCAGGAAGAATCAGAGGGAACCAATGATCAGCCTAAGTCACCCAGCAAGCTCTCAAGGAAAATTAGTCTTCTTAGAGAAAGAAGCTATGCACTTACCAAGGAGAAGACGGGACAAGAAGATGGAGTTACTATTGTCCTTTGGGGAGGCTTCTTGTCATCTTACTTCAAAGAGGAGGACACTGGGCCTCAGTAAGCTGCTTACTGGGTAGGGATTGATGTCTGATGCCTAAGCTTATGCTCTTTCTGGGGCACAGGGCTGCCACTTGCAGGAAGGATGCAAAATTTGGAACAGAGATTGGAGGCAGTTAGACCCAGGGGTTGGGAGACGGCTACTGCTGGGGCATAAAAGACCAGAGAAGAGGGCAGCTTCCCAAAGGCATGGAGGAAGGGCAATCTGCAGACAGGTCCCAGTTGCCACAGACAGCAAAGCACGGCTTGCACAGGGTGGAAGAGCTAGTGCTGTGCTAAGCCAAGGGGTGGAGAGGCTCCACCAGGACCCCCAGGCCCCTCCACCTGCAGCCCCCGCTTCTCTTCACATGGCTGGGAGATGGGCTGCCTGGGGTGAAGGAATAATGCTGACACAGAGGAAGGGGTGAGCACTTGGCAGGACAGAGCTGGTTTCTCTTCAGTTAGCCAAGGAAACAAGGCCTGGAAAAGAGGGATGGTGACTCCCTCATGACATCCCTGAGGCATTGGTACCCGGATCTGGAGAAGGGAAGGATTGAATTAAGTGAGCTCCACAGCCCTCCCACTCTGACCTTTTCGTACCATGCATTCATCCTCACTAGCATCGTCTCTCATCCCAGCTTCTGCTCTACGCATACTAGACACATAGCAAGTGGCCTTTCTGAGTGACCATGTGCCTCTGGACGACATAAAGATGACCTTGCTTTCCTGGGCAGAGCTAAGGAGTCAGGCATGGGAGTTGTCTGCACAGAGTGGGGCATGAGCCCAAGGCCACATGTAAAGACGGGGTGGCCCAGGCACTGAGCATGGTCTCACTTGGCTGCCTGGCTGGCTAAGTGCTCATGTATAGATATCCGTTCCCTGGCTGGAAGGCCAGAGAGAAGTGGGAGCAAAGATGCTGAGGCGGCAGCTTGATGTCTTTTTCAGGAAGGAGTTTCTGACTGCTCTTCCCCTTCTTACCCTTGTCCCCTCATGGTCTGAGGCATTTCACAGTGGCCATGAGGACCGTCCTGGAGTTAGGCGATTTGGCCTCATGGTCTCCATGTTACAGATGGGAAGATGGAGACCCAAATAGAAATTTGCCCATAGTTCCCTGCAGGGTTGTGATAGAGCTGGAATAGAATTAAAATTTCACATCTGGAGCCCACTATCCTTCCTTTGCAAATCCCTCAAAGCATGCTGTCTAAACTGAAGAATCTCCTATTTTGTCTGCTTCACGAAAGGCACGTCTCTAAGTGGGTTGACTTAGAGAGAGGAAGGCCTTATGTTCTGCCAACAGCCCAGGGTTTTACAATAGCATCAGGCTTACTATGAGACACTGTGTGTGAATACCATGGTCCCTGCAAGCTGCAGAGCTTTGCAAGCTGAGCCAGGCTCTACCAGAAGCACAGGACTAAAAAAGGCATCAAGTTTTGCAAACTGTGGGAATCCACAGATGGTGTTAGAATCCACACATATCATGGGGCTCGCTGTAAAATGCACACAGCACAGCAAAAACCACATGTAGGGCAAGTGACAAATCCAAAGCACAAGACAGCATGGTCAGATTTCAAGCTTGGACCACCCACAATGGGACCTCATGCAGAGTTAACCCAGGAGCTGGTCTGGGCTAACTGTCGAAGAACCAGAGGCTCTTGAGTACCTGACCCTTGTCCAGTTCCATAGTTCTGAGTTCAGAAATACTCTGATCCCAGTACATATACAGACCATTCCATGTTTAGAACTTCTGCAGCCCTCGGGGCCAGGATGGGAGCAGTGGAGCTTCCAGATGTCTGAAAGGATCTTCCCTTCTCAACTGTGCACTTGCAGAGTCTTGGGAGGTTCTACCTCTAACAGTCTCTAGAAGTGCAGACTTTAAGGAGTTAGAGAGAACTGATTTTGTTTCCTCTGGCCTCTGTAAATCCAAGCTAACTTTTGACCTCTCTCAAACATTTACATTTCTGGTTTCTCAAAGACTCATTCATCCATGCAGCATTCAGCATTCTGTGGAGTGCCTACTGAGTCCAGGTACGTCACACATTCCATACTTCCTTCTAGAACCCTTGTCCAGCTACAAGGAGCCAAATGGGACTGTGGGATGTTTCTGCCATTGCACTGAAAGCAAGATTCCAAACCCACATCCCCAGTCCTTGCAAGGATCCTGTTTCTAATCAGATTCACTTCTGCATCTTGGTATTAGAGAAATCCAGAGATCTTCCCCTGAAGATCTTTGCCAGCTTGAGCAAAGGAAGATGCCTAGTCCTAGCATCAGAGATCCAAGACATGGTCCCATCACCAATAGCTGAGTGATCTCTGGCATGTGACTGAGACTTGGTGCCTATTCTGTAAAATGGGGCTATACTTAGCCTCTAGGGTGATGAAAGAGCCCAAAGTAGCCTCAGTGTGAAAATGCTGCCAACTAAGGGGAAAAAGAGGTTTGTTTTCTCTTCTGCCTGCCTCCAAGCCCCACCTCTGCCACTCTCTTCTCTACCACTAGTTCAAGGCCTCCAGGCATAGCTTCTTTCACAACAGCCATGCAAGGGAAGATCCTAAGGAGAGATCTGATGAGAGGGAGGTGAAGGGACTTGCCTACGGCCACTTGGTCAGCCCATGTGAGTGATATGGGACTGGTCTGATTGGCTGCAAGGCCTCCTTCCTCTGACCTTAGTCCAGAAATACCTGGGAACTTGGCATTTGTGTTCTTCTCCCCTCTCCCTCCCTTCAGTTTCTCCTCCCTTGCTTCCTTCCCTTCCTTTCTCACTCTCTTCCCTCCCTCCCTCTCTCTCTCTCTCTTACCCACCTACCTGGCTATGATTAATGGGGCATTTATCCTGAATTCCCAAGTGAGCTATCACTATACCTCCAGGTGGACAATCATTCCTTAGCCTGGAACCTTGGAGCTGGGGGAAGGTAATCAGTGAAAGGTGACAAGGGCTTGAGGGAACAGGAGTGAAGGAGGACAGCAGCTCAGCGGGCTCATGGAGGGCCATGGAAGTTCTGTAGGAGGACAAAGGCTTGGTAGGAGAAGGAGCTCATATGCAAAGTGGAATGTAAGAAAGAGACTGGGGGGCTCAAGGCTAAATGGCCCTGGGCTCAGGGAGGGCCAGTGATGTCCATCTTTTACTGCTAACAGAAGAAGAAATATCTAGCAGAAGCCCCAGGTCCAGAGGCTGGGAGGAGCAGACTCTCCAAGCCTCAAAGAGGCAGGACACGGCCTCCTCCCAGCAGGGGGGTGGACCTAAAACAAACGCAGCTTCCCACACTGCCCTGGTCCCAGACTGTCCCAGCCAGGGCAGCAAAAAAGAAAGGAGCAAGTGCCAGGGAGCCAGGCACTTGGAAAGTGGCTAGTTTGACCAAGACCCCCCAACCCTGCCTGGAGAGGTGGTGGCTACTGTTCAGTGTGGCTTGGGAGACATCAGTGCAGCTTGCCAGCAGATGTTTGCAGGATCTGCCCATCAGGCTCGCTTCCTCCCCCTGCTCAGCTTCACATCCTGATTGAATTAGGGACTGGAACTCACCGCTCTCCCACTGTCATGGGACCCAGGATAGGTAAGTCCAGAGGAAGTAAGGAAGGGCATTGGTGGGGGACTGGAGGCCTGGTTTCCAGTGAGAAGAGCAAGGCTATAGAGCCAAAAGGGGTGTGCTGAAGGTGGGAAGGGAGTACACAGCTCTCAGCAGAGCCAAGCGCTGGCCCAGGACACTGTGAGTGAAGGAACAAACAAGCAGTAGGAGAGGATCTGTTTACTCAGCTGGAGGCAGGGAACTGAGCTAAACCACCCTGGTAAGGCATAAACAGACTGGAAGAAAACAGAGATACACGCCTGATCCTCTTGTCAGCATTGGTCCCCCTGTGAAGGAGACATAGTTAGAGACGGACAAGTCAGAGAGCCGAAGAGAGGGATGAGACTCTTACAGAGAGGTAGAAAGACAGGAGGAAGATCAACAGGTCTGGGCAGAGGCTACAGGAGTAGGAGGAGAACTGTCTTGGAGAGAATGTGGCAGCAGAGATGAGGAAGATACAGAGAAAAGGAGGAGGCAGTGAGAGCGAGAAGAGAAAGCACAGAACACACAGGGACAGACACTGCATGGTGACAGACAGACCTTCACACAGAGACCCAGCAGGATACTTGTGGAAGAGAGGAATTCAAAGAAAGACCTACAGACACCTACCCACCTAGCTTGCAGTAAGGCAGGGGGGATGGAGGGAAATATCTGGGCACCCTGAGAAACCAAGCGTGGTGCATGATAAGGAAGTACCTGGAGTGGCCGGCGGGGGCAGTGTTTCTGGGAGCCAGCACCAGGCCTAGGGTATCTCAGGTAGGTTGAGGGTGGTGGAGGGAACAGGATCTTCAGACTGGGTATCCCCACGGCCACCTGCAGAGAGGCCCTGGGGCTTCCCTCCATACTACCTGTCTTTCCATCCTCCCTCCCTGTGTGGGCTTCACACCCACTGAGTCAAGTCTGGGCCTGCTCCCAGGAGCCTAGCAGTGCCAGCTTCACAGACCAAGAGACTCCAGGCAGATGCAGTCACAGCCTGGGGATCATAGCATGGCAGGAAGGTCAGATTCACAAGGGTTGGCTTCAGGCAATGAGTGGGCCACTGAGCAGCTACATCCCCAGGTAGCCTCAGCCCCATAGGGAGAGGGGGTTAAGACCCTATGGTGTGGCCAAAACCAAGGACTTTGATTCTTCTACACCTGCTGCTTTCCAGGGCCCATCCCTGTGACTGTTTTTCTGGCTTCTGCAAGGCCCCACTCTGGAATATTTTCTGGATGCTCCCCAACACCCATATAGCAAAAAGCTGACCCCAGTGTTCACTAGCTGTGCTCCTGAAACTCCAATCTGGGCTGCAGCCAGGCTTACTGGGGGACTCAGAAGGATGAGGAAATGTGGGTGGGGCAGGATACAGAGCCTGGACTCTGGGGACAGCCAGGGATCACTCACAGAGAGGCCAGCTGTCCCCACCAGATGCAGACATCAGATAGGAGTGTGAGCCAGATGTGGCTCCCACAGAACCCCACCACCAAATGACCATGTGTTCTCATGCTACAGACAGCTTCCCTGTCTGTGCAGGAAGGGGAAAGAAAATACTCTCCCTCAGCAGTTCCCACAGTATGATCCAGAGAACACACACTCCCACTTCTGCACCCTTGCTCAGGAACACCCCTACCCACGCCCCATTCAGGTGGAATTGTCCCACTTCTCACTCCTGTCACCATCAGCTCCTCCAGGATGTCTTCCTGGCTGACTCTTGCAGCTGGAGGTAAACCCTGCCTGGCAGAGACCAGGTGCTAGATAACCCTGTCTTTGATCCGTTCTCCTTCGCTCTCTGTGACTGCTCTTGCTCTCTGCAATCCTTCTTGCTCAAACACGAGCCATCCCAGGGACCAAGCGAAGGCAAGAACTAGCAGCCCTGTGTTCATATTCAAGCTCTGCATCACCAGCTTTATGAGAAGTCAGTGAAATATCCTCATCCTTTTTAATAGATGAGGAAAAAAGGTGCTCAGAGAGAACAGATAACTTGTCTAAGATCACTAAGCAAATAAACAGCAAAGTGGGTGCCAGACCTGCCAAAGCTTTTTCTACTCTGTTCCACTGCCCCCTGCCCCAGGGATTTCTCTTCTTTCCACAGACTTCACATTGGTGAGCCTCTGCCCACCTTGGTCAATTCTCCTCTGACTCTGCTGACTCCAGACAAAACAAGCTGTTTTTTGGATGCCAATGCCTGGGGGTGTTGTTTCTTCACAACCTGGGCTGACCTTGCCTGCAGGGCCAGATCCCAGGCAACTGAGAACCAGATAGTGAGCCAGCATAGATTCCATCATGGTGTGCCAGGAATTCAATGCCCAGTCTCCTCCTGTCCCTTTCCAGGACTCAATTTTTTTTTACCTGTGCAATAGATAGGAGGAGGTGGCCAACATGGTCACTTGGTTCCTTTTTATACTGACAGATCCCATCTCTGGGGGGAGCAGGGGAGCAGAGCCTTTCCATAAGAATAGAGCCCATCTTTCCATCTATGTTGGGGACTTGACTGTCTCTAGAGTGTCACCATGGATGCACCCTCACAGGCTGCATCCCAGAGCTTAATGCTTAAGGCTTGCAGTGGTAGAAAATGATGCCCATCTCAGCACAGCACAGCACAGCCCTCTGCAGGTAGAGCCTGATTTCATCCAATTCTGGAGCTCCTGAACTTAGCCCAGGGCTGGGCAGAGATGAGATGGTGGGAAGAGTTCAGTCATAAACTGCCTGCCTTCCTCTCCATGCTTCCACCCTGCCACGTTATTTGCCTGCTCCAACCTTTTTTGAAGGCTTGGAGCCTTCCCTGAGCCAGGCTCTGTGCTGATACAGGATACCCAGCATGAAACCAGGTGGCGGTCTCTCCCTCCAGGAGCTCCCAGGGGACTGGAGAGTCACAGACACAAATCACATGGATAAAAAGATGAACTTTGAAACTGGCAGGAACACCCAGCTACACAGTTGGGAGCCAGTGGGACTCTAGGAGAAAGGGGCTCAATAGGGGCTCAACAAGGTGTGCGTTCTAGGAGGGCATTGCAAATGTTTAGAGAAGTGACTGGACCTGACATGTCTGTGGGGACAGTGAACTGCCCTGTGCAGTCAGAGTAGGGGAAGTCATCACACAATATTCAAAAATTTAAACCCCAGAAACTGATGGGACCCCCATCACAAAAAGCATGTATGCCAAGTTGGGCATATGGACCTTGTCTTGGAAGTCATTGGAACTATAGAAAGTATGTGAGAAGGGTGGTGGCCACGTTTCAGTGGCCCAAATCTGTGTCCTGGCAATGCTCATCATGAGCTCATGTGTGTAGTACTTTCATGAGTACAAAGCACTCTCATGTCCATTTTACAGCCAAGGTCATGAGGAGTCCAGTCTATACAGCTAGCCAGCACCAGACCAGGACTTGCACTGAAGCCTCCACTGGTGCCATGGTCCCCCCTAGCTGTCCTTTTGCCTTCTTTCTGGGTGGTCTATACCACAGGCTCCCAGGTGCTCAGCCTGGTGGACAATGGCTTGGGGGCTGAGCTCCTCTCCAGACCAAAGATCTCTCATGCCTGGACATTTCTAAGGTGGTTCTTTGAATGAATGTGCAAAATAGCTGCACCTTCTCCAGGCCTGGAGACCCTGACACAGAGCAGGTCTGGGTCCCTAGGAGGTGAAGGTGGAGTGGTCTAGGGCCCACAGCCACCTCTCTTGCACTCAGCGCCTGGTTTTAGACCTAAGCAGACTGACCTGGGTTCCCTATGTGCTCAAGCTTCACACTGTCTCCTGGCCTGAGATCTTATTTTTAAGGTCATCTGGGGTCTAGATGGGGTAGCCAAGGGCTAGAACTGGGAACAGAAAGTCCCAGCACAGGGTCCTTGACCCAGCTGGGAAACCACCAGAAAGTGTCTGGTCTCTTCCCCCTCTTGCTGGATCTCACTCAAAACACACAGCCAGAGCTCAAGCATGTTATTGTCCAAGAGACCACCCAAGGGTCCTGCCAGAAGGAATTTCCCCTACATGATAGCCAAGCCTGACGCCTGCCCAGAGACACCCCCCGCCTTCCTGCCTGTGACTTTTTCCCCTCCACAATGCAAGGCCAGGTTGCTCCACCCACCCCAGTCCACCTGCCTGCCTGTTGCCCATACTCCTGCTTTCTGGGATCCCTCATTCAGTTTATCTCAATTCAGCAATCATGCTCTTCAGCCTGGCTGGGCCTGGAATGGTGAGAAGCAGTGAGAAGAGGAAGAGCAGCTGGGAATGATACGGCATATTCAAAGGCTTAGAGGTGGGGAGGACACAGCGGCACAGAGAATGGCAAGAGGCAGAGACCAAGCAGTGTGTAGATGACACATGAGTGGCTCCTGCAGCTTTGATCTGAGGCCAGGAGTGTGGACTCCTTGTGTGGCAGCTAGTTGGATGGGGGTCCCTCAAAACAGTTTTGAGGGACAATAGTAGTGCTATGAGACATACTCTAGTCTCTCACACTTACTGAGAAGGAAGTCACAGTAGCTTAGAGCATTGGCTAACCTGCCAGAGTTCACTCAGATGCAATGTTGAAAAGTAAATATTTAAACCCAAAGTCTTCTGGACCCAGAGGTTCCTGTAGGGACCCAGTATGATCCATCTGGTCAGGCAGACAGGAGAGATTATCTGGGGGTGCTTAGCACCTCATCAAGCAGGGAAGAGTACATAAACAGCAAGAGCAACCAACCGCCACTGAGGGAAATGGCTGCAGGGACTGAGCTGAGAGGGACACACTGTGGAGGCAGAGGAGACACCTAGGCAGGGCACTGCAGGCAGGGGAAACTCATGAGGCTTGGTGTTGGGGGTGGCTCCAGGGGAAGTTTGGCTGCCGTGAGAGTGGCCTCCTCCCAACACCCACCTCTGAAGAGGCTCATGTGCCTCTTAAAAGATGGGCTGCCAACATCTGCTGCACAACAGGCTTCTCTCCCTGGGCTTGGGCATTGGTCATGTTAAGATGGAAACTAGTGACTTTGCAGGTCCAAGGTGACTCCTCCTTGTTGGGATTGATTCCGCCTTCTAT